ATGAGTAATCAAAACAATTAATAGATAATGGGAGGCATTAGTGTTACTGTTTTCATACCTGAGCGTTTCTCTTTTGTTTAGGTAACTAAACCAGTCAAAAGTCGTCCGAAACGATGGAAGTTGTCTATGTAAACTTTGGAAATCGTTTAACATGCTGGATTGAATGCGAGAACCGTTAGAATATAATTGACAAACAATGGGTAGTCATAAAACTATATAAAGTACATACACATTACTGTTATACACTCTTGATGGTAGTGTAATCTTACAAAGTAACATATTCGAAATAAAAAACTATCTCAATTCTTAGAAACATGAAAAAAGTGTATTGAAATTGCTTATAATGTAAAAAAGAACATTTATTCTATATTATACTAATAAAACCATATTACTCATATTTACGCTATAAAAAATTATCTTAATTCTTAAACATCTTTTTCTAATCTCGGAATATTGAAAACTTTGCTTGAGCCCGACGTTTTGCCACGATTTTGTTCCAGGCCGCCGTCTGCGGTTTGGGAGTGAACTTGTCATTGAGAACGAAAAAGTCATTGAATAGCAGAGCTATACTTTATATTTAGCAGAAAGAGAAGTAACACATGTTATATTGTCACGTGATGGTAAATGTGTCAACTTAATATATTCAATAAGTAATAACGCTTATTGTATTGCTACAAGGAAAGGTGGTTGTTTACATTATGACCGTCTTGACGAGACAAGATTATTCTTGAGCAAATAATTCGAATATTACAACACTGCTTCACGTTAGTAAAAACTATTTTGCATACGTCTGATTTTTATGTCACCCATTGGGATCAATATGTTACCACATAAAAGTGTCAAGAATGTGAGGATCCCGAAACGTAATACTTTGCGTTCAAACATACTTCTCATTCAAAACATATTCACCATTTAACATATGCTTAAACTATAACGGGTTGGTGGGACATCACGTTTCTATTTCTGACTCTCCTCATGTGACTGATCGATGTACTTGAGGCGTTATCATTAGTATGTAGGACTAATCTTTTCGTTATAACCTATCTGTTAGTTTTACTTTTCCCTCGTGTTTCATTAAACAAATTCGTTTATTATAAACAATATCCGAAAGTAGAAACCATAAGTAATATGTCAAAATTTTGTTTCTATATCCGGTAATAGGTTCCCATTCATCTCAGGAAAGTTTCTGAGCATAGCTCAATTTAAACTCTCCAGCAGAATTTATAATATTTCTACAATATTGTGATATACATGACCCGAGAATCTTAACAGTAGATGCGTTTTCTTCATTGAAATTCCATTACTTGCATACCCACATACACAGAATCGTATAATTCGGAAATGGTATAATGTTCATACCTTGGATCATGTTCATATACCAAATTATGCGACTTTACTTATACTCAATCCGCTTCGAATAACGTAATGCGTAACGCTGGGTTTCAAGATACAATGCCAACTGTAACAGCCGAATTCTCTAATCCAGCTTCTGCTATGGTTTGGTCAATATATTCGATAAGCTGCTGACGATTGAATACCAGCTATATAATTAAAGGGAATAATTAAAACATTAAGAACCCAATTATGGTAATAGTTCTGATTGACATATAATTACAAATGATACCTCAAACTGATTTTCTGCTGCTGCAGGGACTGTGGCCTTGATGTACTCGAATAGATATCGAACAGGATCCGATTTGGCGAATCGTCGAATAATTCGTGATCCGTCTGCAATAGGCAATTGATATTTATGATTGTGTTAGTTGACGATATTAATCACGGTAGAGCAGTAGTGACTCGTATCATTCGAATGTCTGTTACGAGGTTAGCAAGATGTGAAATTCACCTGCAAGACGAAATTGTATTCGCGTTACTGATGGTCCTTCGGCTGGCTCTGCTCTTTCAGTTGGATGAATCATATCAAAGGCCGAAACTCCTTGTGATTCTACACATAATTAACGGAATTAATTCGGAATAATAGAAATTGTACACAGGAATAGTAACAAGAATACCATCATCGCTCTGGTCCTCAATTTCCATAAAATCAATCGCGTCCGCTGGAAGTCGGCTGTCGGCTGCTTCGTCTTCGTCCGACACATCGTAAATCCTCTACAAAGCAGCGTTCAAAATTATTCTATGAGTATGTCTGGCATTGTCATAGTTCTATATACATTCCACAAAAACGGTCATCAACCTGGCTTGTGGATTGTGCAACGGCTGGTGATTTCGACGATGCAGCCTCTTTCAGAGAATATCGTTCCAAAAAGTCGGTGACTGTGTGAATAGAACATAAACTTTTAGAGCCATATAATCAAAAACGTCAATAGTAGTGACTGACGCAGTGATTGGAATTCAAGCTAACCAGCAATTATAAAATCATTCGGTGTTAGTGAATAATTAAATGTCTTTAGCCTCTCTCCTACAAGTCGAACATAGCGTTAACAGAGTTTAGAAATTAGATATTGACAGTTTATCTTTGTGATAATAACAGACCGGTTCTTGGGTCGATAATGGCAATATGTGGATAGTCGTCGAATGGATAGAAAGTTTTGTATCGTCGTCCTTCTGAAGAATTAGCTGGAAGCTAATTAGCCAGTACATAGTAGCTTAGTAAAATTGTCATGACAGGGTTGAAAGTAATAGTCATATATATACAATTGCCGAGTTGATAAAATAACTAGTTATAATTGGTCATCAAAAAGACCTTTTGTTTTCAATTAATTACCTGCATGAACAGAAAATCAGCCTTAACAACTGCCTTTACAGTTTGCTCGCTCCATAGATCACGGTTTAACACTTGACATGCAAACTCTGTGTAATCGTGAATGGTAACCATAAGCCATTTATTCTTTTCCTTTGCATCCTGGCGCACCTATATAATCAATAAATGATGAGCGCGTTCAATCTTCACATACAAGCGAGCATCAAACACCCTCCCCTCGCAGAGACCCCGAACCTGTTCAAAACCACCAGGAGTGATAAGATCAAAAGGGGGTCTAAACAGATCAGCTAATCGAGGACTCAATTTTGGATCATGTTGGCCTGTCAAAATCGTGTACAACTTTATCAGTACAAGTCCCTCCGCCAGCTTCAATATATCATTCATCCATTTACCTGAAATATATGCAGAATCAAGTCGACTATCTCTGAGTCCATCAGTGACCTCTCTCACAACAGGCCGACTATTTCTTGTTGTGGTAGATCTCCTGGCTGTTTCATCAAAAACAAAGGTAACGAATTACATCGGCTCCCGCCTCAATCAAGTCATTTCATTCACAATCAGAATTTACATCCATACTTTGCGGATACAACTCATCGTCATCGTCCCTGAGCAGTATCTCTTGCCTTGGAGGAATAGGTGCGCGAACCTCTTCAGCAGCTAACCGAGCAGCCAATGCTGCATCGCTTTCTAATGTGGAATTATCAGTACGTGTACCGTCTGAAGTACTAGACGCCGAGGGAGTAGGTTGCTGCGAACTCTTTGAGTCTTGCAGAGCTTGCGTGAGGTCAACGCCACCACTTTCCAAATAGAGTGATACAGCTTGTTGGAGGTTGTTGTCAGATACCTGTTTTTTTGTTGTTTGTATGAAGAATGATTCTGAGTAAAAAGAACGGGCTTGAGCAGGAAAAATACGGAGCAGATATTGGGGCACAAGACTGAGGCTATATACCGTCAAATAGCTCGCGGCTATTTCGGGTCTAGCTCCCGTAACAGCGCAAAAGTCTGATAGCGTTTTGTCGTTCTGCGGACTGTCATCCATATTTAACAGTGTAAAGAGAGTAAGATTCTCTGTTATTTTTCACTTGTCAAACTTGTGGTTGTCGCTATTGCGTACGCAGCACGTCACCAAAGAATGACGCAACGTTGTGTATGCATTCTTCAACGAATACAGTAATGTCGTCACACTATCCAAAGCATAATAAAATATGATTCATCCATCTCATCAAGTCATTCCGGTCTTCTTTTTCCCACTTGCTTTACGGATTATAATAAAACGCGCTTGATTCGTTAAATTTACAAAATTTACCTAGAAGTTACCATTCTGGGACATCACTCGATGTGAGACGTTATACCAATACTCTGTTTACAAGGGGCGTAGGTCCGGAGCAGTACTCCGGAGTCCGGAGTATGAGATTATTTCGTTATTTGGTTAAATGGGGCGTGCTGCAGATTGTTACGGCTATGGTTATAACAGTTCGCCTAATTATCAGCTATTTAGCATTTAGCATAACGTTCTTTTCAAATGACGACCCATCCTATTCATGATTAACTTGTTTCGGAAATCGTTTATTCAAGCCAAGATTGGGAATATTAATAATCGCAATTAGAGGGAAACCTCCTTATTCGATACGTAAAATTTGATAATTAGTAATGTGAAGTTGAAATTGAAATAGAAATTGGGATCAAATAATCAGATAAAGCTACCGCAATGTTTCTTTTGTCATTATTTGACTGGGGATGATGTAAGCGAGGGTCTTGTCCTACGCGTCCACGTCAGATGGTTTTCGCGGCCTGTCACCAGGTTAATAATACTACTTACTAACAGTAAATATTATCAAAAGAACATATAATTGCGTTGTGATGTTTTAATGCATCTTTTGAAGATCCGCTCAACGTAGTTATTATTATTTGAAGACGATACATATGTATATGCTAAGCATATTTGAAACGATCTTATATAATAGCGTTTTCTTGTCTCATTGTGAGCAGCCCTTGCTTTCTGAAGTAAGAGTAATCATATTAGTATTCTCGAAACTATGTGTAGACTTCGCATTACAGAACCACTGGTGAACTCCAATAAGGTTGCGAGACAAGAATTATACTTGATCTAGCATGTTTCAGTATTTGTAGTATGATTCCATCGCTGATACCTGCTGTCCTTTGCTTAACTATGTACAGAGTATAAATTAAAGAGAATGCCACTACATGAACGATATCATGTCAAGACATTCTCAAATCAATGATACTGCTGGGTCTGATCTGAACGTCATTTAACAGGTTATATTCCATCCAGCAAGGGACCAAAGACATTCTCATCTAACCTTCTCAATGCGTCAAAGTCCTATAAATAGTTGTCGCCATTCAGGTTCAAGAGTTACAAGACATTTAACAAGGTCATAACAATAATGCTGACCTTTGTAATCGTGGTACTAGCAGTACACGTTAACTTCAAAAGCTTGCAAATGTTGCGTAGCTTACTCTTCAAATCGTCAATTGTTATCGACACATCTCTATCTTAACATTAAAATTTTGCAAGTTAGGTTACCGTTCTGTTCTCTATTTATATTCTTGACGTGTAAAATAAGATGTCTACAAACAAAATACCTGCTTCGAAATGATAAAGCTCTTTCCATGATGTCACTACTGCTTTCAATATCTTACCTTCGTAGGGAGGGATCCTGTGCCATTAACGAATGAGTAATTGAAGAAATTCTATTCGTGTTTATCGTCATTGACATTGGTATGATCGCTCCGTACATCACCAGCACCAATACTAGTAGCGATACCAAATTCCAAAGATACAAATTAGATCGCCAACCTTGGCCAACATATGCGGATTGTCGTTTGGAGCCCCTCTGCTGCATGAAGATGCATCTTAACTATTTCGTCGTTGCTAGGAATATCCAGAGGAATCTCTAATGTCTCACATTGTACATTCACAAGTTCCTATAGATACAGTAATACTAGACAGATTAGGCAAAGGAATGAAAACGGTTTTCTTCTAATAAGTCTGTCAAATGATTTAAATCGCTACCACATATATAAAAATCATACTACATGTCCCTTACGACCACTAACCTTTAAATATTTCACAGCCACAATGCCCAAATATTTGACAAGAACCGGAATCTGCTCAAGCAAGACCCGTCTTATAGCTATGATATCTCCGACCATTATTAATCCTCTCAACACATGCGATCTCAATAGTTTCTCATACTTGCTAAACCATGCCTCTGAACCCTTGGACTCGGCTACCGAGACAAGGTTGAGCATGGCGGAATAGCTTGTACGCAGAAACTGTGCGTGGGATACCTCACTCTGATACATCAAGCATGCTGATATGGCCTAAAGCAAGTCAATCACAATGTTTCATTAATAAATATTGCAACAATGCATAAAAATAGCCATGTTTTTTTATATCAAATTCCTGGCTTTCAGATAGAGCGTAATGTTATACGTGACTTGATGCAACACCTCGTAAAAAACGTTTCCCAGTCCTGTTCTTTGGATTATTGTCGGGTTTACTTTCCGCAGAATCTGATCCAATATTGTTATCCCACGAGTCTTTAGTGTGACATCAAAGTTGTCGAGTAATGTTAACGTTGGTGGAATAAGAAACTGTATCATATTGTTGATTGCTGGGGGCTTTATTGAAGTAAGAATTGTAACAGCATTGTTAGCAATTCCAGTCGTGATAGTGTCGTTTATGCAAGCATATATGTGCCTATTTTCATGTAATGGTACTATTCGTCTTCTTAGTCATTTTAATAACGCGAATATCACTTACCCTCATTCGACACACCATCCACTCTATCACACGTGCAGCAGGCTCAATATCAACTCTCCAAGAAGTATCGTCAGCAGGCAACTCGTATTTGCGCGCCATGGATGGTCTCGTGGTTGTTCTTATGGATGTCTTTAATTTCCCATTTCCAACATTTATCTCGGACGAATAGCGCATAAATGCTGGCTTTATATGTTTGTTCATTATATTAAGAACAAACGTCTCGACCAGGGTTTCTACATCGCGAAACCTTGGTTGTGCTTCATGTAAACTAGTGATCACGCCTAGTATAGATGAAATGACAATAATAATGCTAATGTGATTATACCACTCGAGCGAGTTCATCCAACCCTTAATCTCTCTTTGTGATTAATTATTAAACGCTGTATCAATCAATGTTAAAAGAAAAGAGTACCATGAGCTAGCTCTTTCAAAGACGCGTTCGACCAAGGCTCTTCTCCCAGATACAAAATACAAGTCCACAAGCAGTCCCCAATTAACTCATCGCTTAGTTGCTCTTCTCGTCTAACTAATTGCCTGAGAGCAGCAAGGGCTAATTCAGCCTGAGCTTTGAAAGCACTAGCAAAATCGTCGTCTAAACGCAATACATAGCATCTTGTCAGCAGAGAAGCCGAAGTTTGTGGGTTGGTAGACAAGGATTATTAAGGCTAACCAGACGCTTGGGCATTGAGGTGGAAGTAAGCAGGTATGCGGAGAGAATCTAGTAGAGCTTCCAAAGAGAAAGGGTTCTCTGACATTTTTGAATTTGGGTAAAGAATAAACGGCTGTATTTAGCACGGAAATTTTATGTCTAACTGTGCCACTTGTATTAAATTGTCGTGGTTTGACATACGCATACATAATACAGTATGATTATTATATTATTATTAAAGAAGTTTTTGCCTCAAAAACTTGATTATTATTAAGACGCACGATTCCAATAACGTTTGACGAGTTCAACTTCCTTCTAGTCTCTGCCGCATGTCTTGCAACCATAGTCTAAGCTGACTCTTGGACGACCCTGTTGCGATACGCAATGCCATTATTACAAGTGATTTCTTTTGTTCTTGTGAATATTTACTTTCCTCTTCGACTTCTAAAAGCTTATTTTTGATATTGTTCTCATCATAATCTATGTAATTGATCGTAAATTACATATAAGTATATAAAATTTGTCAAGCCTATCATTACGTGACTCAAGCATATGTTGTTACCTTCTTTCTTTATCTCTTCTATTAACCAGTTCACTGCTGGCAGGACCGGTTGGTAAGAATTTTCATCATTATAAAGATAGCGGTCAGCGCTGCTCATGGAATCCGATACGGGAATTGTCCTCTTGTGAGTGTTGCTATATGATTTATCCAATAGCGTTTGCAATTGTCGTACCACATCTTTCCTTCCCGAACCAAGTGCTAGAATTCGTAAAGATCGTATGAACGCGGCCACTTGTTCCTTAGTATAATTATTCGAACTTTCTAAATCTCGTATAATATCAGATATCTGCTCGATACTGTCATCTTCAAAAGGAACACGCGAAGAAAAGTCTATTAATAAATTTAATCGCATAACATGGAATAAACGTTTAAGTAACATACCTGTTCGGTCGGATTTGATTATTTCCATTAGTTTTCTCTTGGAGTCGAGTAACAATCCCGATATGCTATCGACCGAGATGGAAGAGTCCTCTTTTGAATTTTGATCAATGGCTTCGACACCTTCTATATTGATTGCGTTTCCGTTGACATTGTACAACACCATTTCTGAATCAACATCCGCGCCAGTAGGTATCTCTCCATCTTCAAAGATTCTGTTCGCTGCCTCAATCGTCTTGTCTTTAACTTTCTGCGACGTCGACTCTGTTCTGTTAATCATCTCTTCAGCTTCAACTTCCTGTTTCAATTCGCCTTCTTCTTCATCAACATCCATCAATTCAACCGCCTCTTGTTGGTGAACTGTCGCATTAATGGTGTTGTTGATTTTGTCAACGCCGTTAGGAGCCACCACTGGTATCAACTGACTGCTACTTTCACCATTATCCTGCACAGATGCTACTACAGGCCCTACGTTTGCGGGGCCAGAAAGTATTCCATGCGACTCATTGTTATCATTATCCGATTCTTTTGACTCCATTCTTCCGTCCCATGGCACATGCAATGATAGAGATTCCATTGCCGGGATAGAGACGGGCAATTGAGCTCCTGGTAACTCCATTATTCCATCTAACGATGGATTCTTTAGCGTTAATGACTGAGATTCTGATGCAGCAATGGTTGTGGACGATCGAGCCTCTAGCATCAAATTTCTTCTTTGGCCTTTCTTAGCCACTGGTACTTTCTCCCGTCGGAGGCTAATCAATAAAGGTGGGATTCCAGCTTCTAGTATTCCTTCAAACCTCACTTGGTGGTGTACATATTGTGGCTCTATGTGACGCCATTTTCTTGGAGGCGTTGATGGCGCAAGTCCATTTGAGGATAAAGATGTGTTGGGAGTTTCTGCTTCATTTGATACTCGTATGTTTGGAGAAGCTTCACCCGCTTCATCTATCGAAATCTATCGAAAACTTAACTTGTGAGCAATGCAAGGATGTGGATAAATTATGAGCGTTTAGTTTATAACGAAACATACTCCTTCATTTGTATTATTTCTGTACATAGGGTATCGACGTGCTCGTTTTCTGTCCATGTCATCGAACTCATATGGGTTCCTTAACATCGATGCGAGTTGTTTTTGCATTGCAGCATGGTATTCACCCATTTGAGAGACAGGCAAGGAATGACGCGTATCTGCAAAAGAATGTCCCACAGGCAATATTAGTATGGCAATCCTACGGTATTTTGGATTGATTCGCAGATTTTACTTGCTAGTTTATTCGGCAAAAGAATGTCCCACAGGCAATATTAGTATGGCAATCCTACGGTATTTTGGATTGATTCGCAAATTTTACTAGCTAGTGTTATTCGGCAACTTACCTTCATCTGACGTGTCATTAACTTTGTTTCTTCCAATGGTTCCATTTACGCCTTGAACTCCCATCTCTTTGAGAAATGCCCGCTTCAATTGTGTCATAGTATTGACAAGTAAACTACGCGGAACATTAGAAGGGTCTTCGTATAGAGATATTTTCTGTAATTGCATAGAATATTCTCATGTCGTAGAGTCAATCAGGAGGACAAAAGTTGGGACAGTAGAAACTAATATAACAGTCATGTGTTACAACTTCAATGTTACAATTTCTCTAGCTTTAAAACACAAACATACCTTTTCAGCAGATACAGGAGCCAACGCTGCAGCCTAATGATATGTATTTAGTAATCATACAAATATGCAAACACAAGTAATCAATCAGTCAACTCTCACCTTGACACGAATATCTAAGCGCTCGAGCCAGTCATTTGCATTTTTTTTAAGTTCTGCTATATACGCGTCCAATTCGTCTGTACGTATACCCAGTGGACTAAACGCTTGAATGAGCTGCGCATACGATGGCATATTGTTTCTTAAGCGCTAACAGTATCGATGCAGTCAAAAATATTACTTGGTAACCTACGACATAATAAATAGGAATAGCCAAGAACTCATTTTACCTCATGATAATACCATGGGATCGATTCCATGTAATTCTTCATCGACTTGACCCACTCGGGTGACATCCTGTTGACGTCTATGTAAGGTAAAGCTATTGTATTGGGACAATTGTGTCAATAAACGCGTTGACATTGGATGCAATTTCTAATAAAGGGTCAATTTCTCACTCACAATTAAACTTTTCCAACAGACCAAACAAAGCAGGGTAGTTATATGGCAACACAACCAAATAAACTCGGTTTTCTGACGCGGCCAAAAATCCAAACGGTTCACCAAACGCCCTCCTGTTATCGCCGCCGCTGTCCTTGATATATACCTGAAAATGAACGCACGACCAATAAGCACATGAATGACGAATGCGTAATGACGGTACAAATAAATTGATGTGTGATCGATAAGTACAGGCCATTGTGTTCCTATGCCATTTCTCATCAACTCCATGGTCATCTCACACTTTTCCACGCGAAATTGTTCATAGACTATTCCTTGGGGTATATGAAAACGACGATCACAAGCTTCGTAGAATATAGTTGGTAAATAGTTACGCTTCTTGTACTGCACGTTGAGCACAGACAGTTAACCAAGGTAAGATGCGGATAAAAGTAAGTATAAACAAATTGCGTAATCTTTCGCTCGAGATATAAAGTGACGTTTCGTAGTGTAATGTATATGGTCAATTTACTAACCGACATTCTTATAGAGCCAAGAGACTCGCGTGGAATCCAGTAATCTTCCGGAATACACCAGGCATTGTCTGCAATTCTGTACGGAACCTCCCCTGGTAGGCCATTTTTCTCCACAAAGAGAAATTTCCTGTGATTTTTATCGTTTGGAGTCGTTATTCCTTGTGATGGAGTCAATAGTGAGAGCAGGAACCAATAGACTGATGCGGTATTATGCATAAAAAAGCTTGCAATTTACCCCCTCGCATTTCTTGGAAATTAACGAGTACGCTTTCACTTGTGAATAGTCTATCGCCTCTCGGTTTCGTCCTGTCCGTTCTGTCAGTTTCCACCATTGATGCAATTTGCTGTACCATCATTCGACTGTCGTATATTTTATGCAGCTTGCCTGCGTGTAGAATGCAAAGTCTAAGCAACCTAATAAATTTTCAATATCGGCATTCATAGTCATTTCATACCTCTAACATTCTCTGTGAATTCTTGTATATATGCAGACGTGGGAGATTCGTCTGATTCCAGTATGAAAGTGTATAATTTCTGATCCCACCTGAAAGGTTCGTTATAGATGTGCATCCCAGGAGTATTGAGTTCGATATTCTTTAACTATTGGGTGATTGCAATCATCGCATATATCGTATTAAATATCCCGTCGCTGATTCATTCGAGAATCACTCGTGTCTATTAATACCTTTTCTCGTACAATCCTATCGCGTAACTCTTCGACATCCGTACAATCTCCGCCATCCGTAAACCATAGTATCAACGAGTTATTTACTGGTGCTGGGTATCTCCCCTGTAACATCACGAGAGAAGTTATTAATGTGACTGATGTGTTACAGCTCATTTGCAAATATATCATAAAAGAACCAATAGCTAACGAAAAGCGCTGATCAACATACTCTGCAAATTGTATCCATGTCCATTGATATTCTGTAAGCATCGAGTATTTCTAACGCTGTTGCGAAAGCAGCCGCTGGATTTGACATGTCTTGTGCTTTAAGCATCTTTAACTGCGCCAACAACTTTTCGCTTCCGTCTTTGAGAGACGACTATATTACAGAGAATAGGATCAGCATATCTACACAATATGTATACGCATGTATAAATGAATATTCACAAAAATAACAGATCGTCTAATCCATCATCTTTAATCTACCTTTACTCTTCCGTCTCCATTCTCGTATGTGACCAACACGTATTTATCCACCTTGTCCATCCTGTCAGCATAGAACCATCTATTCTTTTCATCGTTCATTTCCTACAGTAATGGGAATAACGAGGAATAACCTGATCAATCAATGCAATAAATCCAAGTATTGTGATCCAAATAGCAAATTTCCAGTCGATAATATAGATTCAGGGAGGGATCAAAGGTCTCTTATTAATGTTTACGTGAACGGACACCGTGTCTCCTCGTAGTATTAACAAAAAGATCCATACTTTGAAAAAGGTTTCAATGCCTGACTTGGCACATTCAAACGCAGACAGGTTATCGGCAAATCGCCTATTCATTGACACACTAGTATCTAATATGAATATTACAATCATTTTGCATACTTGTCAAAAAGCGAAAGGGGAAATTGAAAGTGAGTTAAATTTAAAAGTCAATTAATCGATTAATCATGTGCTAGCCAAGTAAGGAAAAAGTATATTGTTATTAGTGTGTAACTTTCACAAGTAATTAAATGTGTAACGTCAAACTCCTGGATTGGGTAATCTTTCAAATTGGCCAGAATGCTTATTTTTCTTTCGATATTTCATTTGAATGACAACTTTTAATAATTTTTTTCATAGCCTTTTCAGCATACAACGCAGGCGAATGGTAAGGTGTGAGTGTGTAAGAAGAGTATCTGTTAGTAAACAATAACGTATGGTGATAAGCAGACGCGTTGATATCACGCATGATAATTACACGGCAAAGAATATTGAATTGTCACTATTACATCATTGTCAATGATTCAATATTTTTGTAAAGTATAAATAAGTACGTTTGTTCAGAAAGTTGTATAATGAAAAGCAAAAATATGTTATGCGCAAGTCGGCTAAATGCGAGTAGACACAGAAATGCCCAGAACGCGAACTCGTTAATCATACAACGAATCCATAATTTGATAAATGAGTGCCATCATCGACTGGCCCCATTGGTTATGTCAGAATTATGAGATCATTCTTTTACGCAAGTTCGAATCTTCGAGGATGGTGTATAAAAACAGTATATAAATTTTTACACAAAACGCCGGAAAAAGAAACTGCTTTGAAGAACAAGCGAAAGATTCGATCGAAGGCAGCTCGTGCGATGCTGACTTGGTCGCATTTCAGGTTTCGGATATTCTTACATCACAAGTTGAGGGAGGGAGTTCAGGGTTGCAAGGTCATTGAATGCACGGAAGAGTACACATCAAAAAACGTGTGGGAATTGTGGATTCGTAAAAATGATCAAACCCGTTCAAATGTGTTTCGTGCGAGGTGGGACCAGGAATTTCTTGCTCAAATATTTAATAGAGGGTCAGGTTTTTGGTCCGACTTTGGGACTTGGATCTATATATATGCCAAGTAAAGACTAACTTACTTCAAGAAATATTAATGTCAACTCTGTGTTACCTAAAATCACGTTGAATTACATTCCCCAAAGTATATTGTTTGCATTAATAGTAAGCATTTAGATCATTTCTATAGTAATAGGCAAAGATTATATTACTTTTCGCGAACCGATCTTATTTGCGCGGATTCTATCTTTATCGTTAGGCTCATTCTTATTATTATGCCGAGGCGTACCACTCATACTGATCCGCAAAATAAATACTGTCAAGTGCATAACTAAAGTTGTAAAATTCAAAACCCATTGACTGTAAAATGAGGGAACGGTGGGTCGTTACTTCTTTCCTAACAATCTCTACAGCTAACGAGTTGGCTCAAGGTGACAAGGTACTACTACTGAAACGAAGTGACAAAGTGGGTACATATCAGTGCGTATACAAATTACCTCTTGTCTTTCTCTATTCTTTATTACTACATTCCCTCCGGCTGAGACAATTCGTATCTCAACAGACATCATTGGGCAGCCGTCAGTGGCAGTATAGAACCAACTGACACGTCACCTCTGTCACGAGCTTTGACAGAAATCCAAGAAGAAACTACGCTCACTTTGGCTGACGTTGAACTCGTGCGTGTTGGCCGAGTGCTGACAATCCATGCACCAAAGCTATCCACGGTCTGGAAGGTACGCCCGTTTCTGTTTAGGGTGTTATGCGATGCTAGCAAAATCGCGATTGACTGGGAACATGAAAAGTATGAATGGATCAGTCCCGACGAATTGGTGAACTATCAGACCGTGCCTAATCTTGTAGAGGCCTTTTATCGTGTGTATCTCCCCGAGCAGGTTCATAACAGTTTGATGGATATGTATAACAATAGATCGTCTGGAGCACAGCAATTGGCTGCCGAGGCGTTGAATACGATGGAAGAAGTTGTTAGACTAAAGTCGATGAGAACGTATTGTAAAAATGCCAAAGAAATGTTTTACGCAATGCTTAATATCGGATGGTATTTTACTCATATTAGGCCAACTATGAAAGCTCCTATCATATATGCAGTCGGGCAAGCAATGTCAAAGTCAAGGGAAATACTAAAACAAAGTGGGGGTGAGATCTCTGTAGAAGAGTACGAGCAAAAAATGTTGGATATCATTGATGGGATTAAACAATCCTCAAAAGATGCAGACAGAAAGATAATTAACCATTTCCTTCAACTGACGCTAAACGCTGAATCGTTTCCATCTCATCTTCACGTGATGACCATCAGTCACTCATCGACCATCTATTCCTCACTTTTATCTCTTATTCAATCTATCCAGTCTCTCCCTGACCATACTCTCAAGATTACAATCATGGAATCTCGTCCTCTCAATGAGGGTTCCGTAGGTCTCGCGCGCAAGCTTCTCGATGACTTGCCCGAGACGGCTAAACCTCGAGTAGAGATACAAATTATAACTGACGCGTCGTGTGCTTACTTTATGCCAACCGTCACTCATGTTATCATTGGCGCTGATCGAATCGCAGGAAAAGATGCGACGGTAATCAACAAGATTGGCTCGTTTCCCTTGGCTTTATCGGCAAAATATTATGATAAGCCGATAATCGTGGTCACCAGGACCGACAAATTAGCATCTACAGACGAAGGAGAACAATTAGAAGAGAATGCAGCTGAAGAGGTAGTGAGTATGTATGAGAATTGGAGCGAGTTTGGTACGAGCAAGAATGTCAGGGTTAGAAACGTGTACTTTGAAAGTCTAGAGTCAAAACTGATCAATGGATATGTTACTGAACATGGTATATTGAACGCCAATGATATTGTCAATCTTTGGCAAGAAAGGAAAGATGACGAGAAATTGTTTGATTTATTAGAAGAATAGACATTCGTGTTGTATGGAAGTGTATTTTCTGAAAAAGGAAAAAAGTTCAAAATGGATCACAAAACAAAACGTAGAATACATTTAAAGAGTTTGTCATTGACATGCCATTAGTATTAATATAATCTTACTTCAAGTTTGTAATCGACGTACCATTAACATTACTATAAACTTATTTCAAACACCCAACTATCGTGTGTCCATCCGATCTGCTGCTGATGCCTTTATCTTGTCCCATTCAGCCATATACTCCTTACTTGCGTATTTTTTCTCCCTCTCCTTTTTTTTATTATCTTCACCCTGATTTTCTCCCTCCTCTTCCTCCTCTTCGTAATAATTTTCTCCATTGGCCGCCGAGTTTTCGTTATCATCGTCTTCCTCTTCGAGCAGTCTATGCCCCATGCGTATGGCCTCTCTCATGTTGTAGTGCTGTGCACGCATTTGAAGGAATTTGCGATGTTTCTCACGAGCTATGATAAAAGTGGTTAATATTAGTTATTGCGATCTCTACGTGCATTCATTCTAACTATATCCCTATTTAAGCATTCGCACGACAAAGCTCTCTTTATTTCATCTCATATCTCCTTACCTTCCTCATCATCTTCATCATCTGACCAATCGTCTTTGATATTATCAGGAAAGTGCGCTGATGATGGTGACGAAGACGACATTGATCCAACGGGAGAGACACTGGATGAACCCAAGGCTAATCCTGGAATGGCTATAAAGTAATAGATTGGAGGCATTCGTTCAGACATTGGCAACGAAAAGTTGGCAATAAAAAAGTACGGGAAGCTTACTGTCTAAATCCGTCATTATCTCATCAGTCTCTTGGTTGTAATGAATATACGGCGTCGGTGGTTCTAGTATTTTCATTGTCGCCGACTTTTGAGATTCCGTAAGTTGCAAATTGTCTTCGTCCCATTTTAGTCTACAACAGAAATCCGGTTAGTGCAAATGAATTACAAAACCTAACGAGCTCGCGATCGTAAGCTGAACAGTACTTTGGCGTCTTTTGCTGTAAATTAATTGATGAATTTTTGAGTATTCCTTTCGGTTTTGTCTCTGATGCCATACAGTTGGCAATGTGCTGTTATTACAGTATGTGTAAGGTATTATTGTTAACAAAAAAGTGCGAGGGGTACAAAAAAATAGTGATTGTCACGAGATGGTTCCATGGGCACTTAATTCGGAAATTTGACGTAATTATTTAAACTTCTGCTGTTGTTACTTGAACAAAACCTAGTCGAAAGGAAAATAATTTTAAATAAAAATAAAGATGCCATTCTCAAGACAACCACTGCCACAATCATACATGCTGTAATATCTCAAGAGCAGACTGATAATAAACGGAATGTATAATACACGCAGTCCAAATTAAGTGCCTTTCCTTCTGATGGGGAAATTTGTATTCCCAGCCAATAAAACTGACAAATGCTGGATCACGCTCAGCCCCGCTTTAAAAAATTTACATATATAAACATCACCTGATATAAAATGCGATCTCACGCCTTCACCCAAATAAAGATCCTCATTCCCCACCGACAATTATCCATTTTCACACCATTGCCCCGAAGCGAGAAGAGAAATGACAAATCAATCGAAAATACAGTCGCAATCCCTTCTGAAAACTCTACTAGTTGGGTATTTGAACCAGTTACAAACACATCCTCTACGAACAAAAGCAATAACTTCGGGTTTACTATCCGGATTACAAGAGTATGTTGCTCAAGAATTGAGTGGTACTAGTCGACAGCGAAAAGGGAAAGGGAGGGCGGATCACATAGGCAATTATGCAGGTCTCGACGAGAAGGTTGTTAAGATGGCTTTGTATGGTTGGTAATTTAGTGGATAATGGGGGCGACGGTTTGGATTAAAGAGACTTTAACAGTAATGATATAGCGATTATGTGTGAGTGCGTTAGAGATGATTTGGACTGCCACTAAGCTGACACAGAGAATGTGTTTGCTTGCTCACTTTGTAACACATTCATTCAGGTTTCTTTATCAGCGGCCCTCTTAATCATGTCATGTTTGAGACACTGAATAGAGCATTTAAAGGACGTACTGGCGCTGGCGCCAAGCTGTTGCAAATTGTTGTTTCTCAAATTATCATCACTCCTATTCAGAACACAGGTAGAAGCTTCATTTATCATTTATGATCTGTATACTTCAAATGTACCTTGTTGTCTGACATTCTAACACGTGTCTCTCTCTCTCTCTTTCATACACGCTCTATCATTAGTCTATTTGGTAGCCATGGCTATCATAGCTGGAATGAATAAATCAGGGCAAATATATGCGTCTGTTAAACGATCCATCTTACCTATTCTGACAATGTCTTGGATTGTCTCTCCTATCGCTATTGGATTTGCTCAAAAGTTCTTACCTCCACAATTGTGGGTGCCGTTTTTTAACTGTGTCGGGTAAGAATCCTCGGTTGCACTTGAACTAGCGTTTTCCTTAAAGACATTCGATGACCATCTCCTAAGCTATTAACCCATCTCTTGGTTCCATTCTGCTCAGCTTCATATTTGGTGTGATGGCAAATACCAAGGCAAAACGCGCACAGTCACAAAACAAAGAGGAACGTGATTCGAATAAGTAAAATTTTCGGATCTAGAGTGTCATGACGCAAATATTCCCCACATCAAATCAATTCTCTGTTGTAAATCTATTACGCATATGTTCAGTTGTTTCACACTGTTATATACGCTGGCATATCACTACTAAAAACAAAACAATTTTGGCATCGTCGATTTGAGTTATGAAATGATGCCGTGCTACTAAAACTAGAATAGAATAATAACGTTATTAATATACTAACTTGTGCGATGGGTGTCCACACAACCGTATCACGTATGATTGTATAATGTCATTTTCCTCTTTCTGTATGCAGACGAGGACGCGCTATCTAACGAGCGCAGAAACGGTCGACAGCGTGGATTAATAGAAAACAATTGTGTGCGTCCCGCGCAATACTCGAGTTTGTCATTGTAAAAGGCTATGCGTCTGGAACGCTAATCCTACGTATCTGATACATTCTATCAGAAGTTACTTTTTGTACATACCGAAGTCAATATTCTGAATCGCGCTCGACTTTTCAGATACTCAGACTGACAAAAAGAAAGCTCAAAATTGTTACAGCAGAGATACTTTTATGCGAATCTTCAACATGACAATTTTGTAATCGAGAAAGTTAGGCAAGCATTTAATAGATCATTGTGTTTATATGGATTTGACTTGTGTTTTGCGTCTACACATTGTCCCTATTATGGAAATACTTCTTACTTTATTAGTTGGCATATAACGGGACAACAATATCTACATGCATACCTGAAACTGTGTGACATTCCGAATTCGTATTCAATGCTACATGTTTTCTTTACTATTATCTGCCAAACGTTAAATTGACGAGAGAAAGACTCTACTCAATAATCGTCAAAAAAAAACATGTCTTCAGCCCAAGAACCCGAAGAGCCTATTAAGTACTTGGAAATAAGTTCCAAGTACATCAAGCATTATCCAGACGAAAATCTCATCGACAAAGACATAATTGCACGCGGTGGATTCGGTGTTGTCTACAAAGCAACGGATAAGCTATCAGGAATTACGGTCGCAATGAAATCATTATTGCCTGGAAATAATAAAGAGAGTGGCAAAGTGTATGCTGCATTTGTTCAAGAGGTTAGTCATAATGTTTTCTTATGATCAATCAACTTTCATGAGCTAGATAAGAAATACCAAATTATCGTGCTATAGCTCAAATATCATAAAGAAGTAAACAATCACCCAAACATCATTCGATTTCTTGGGCTAAGCAAAAGTAGGCTTCAATAAGTTGACTGTCTTTACCGTCTACCGATATATCAACAGCTCCTAACGATTCTATACTGTTAGCATCAATAGGTGAGAAGGTCACGTATAGCATGATCTTTGAGTTTGCAGAAGGAGGAACTCTGCACGATTATCTGATGGATCACAAGGATTTACCATGGAGTAGTATAACAAGACTAGGTCTAGAAGTTACGAATGCATTGAAATACTTGCATAGTGAGAACATCATCCATAAAGATTTGGTATGTCATTCTACTATATTGCTTAAGTGTTTCACCCGATAGATGCTTACTAAATGCACTTCGTGTAGTGTTCCGGTAACATTCTTGTTCATATGGGAACGGCAAAACTGGCTGATTTTGGATGTTCTAGCGAGCTTACAGCGATGATGCCCACATCTAATCATGTCGGAAAAACGGCATACATGGATCCAAAAATAACAGACCGGGCGTACAAACGCGGGAAGAAATCTGATATTTACAGTTTGGGAATACTTCTTTGGGAAATAGCTAGCGGTGAAAGACCGTATAAGGATGTAGAACAAGAGATGATAATGTTCTATGTAATGCAAGGCAACCGTCCTGAGAGCGCTCTCGAAAGACCTAAAGAATATGTCAGTTTATATTCACAATGTTGGGATGGTGATCCCGACAAACGACCGGATTGCGAAGAGGTATACGAGAGATTGGAATCAATCAACAAACAAGCGCAAGAACAAGCACAGCTTCACCAAGAACCATCCAATGAAACTTCAATAAAACAGACTGATCAGACGGTGAAAAAGATAGAACTACGAGGACACGAGCTTGCTATCCAGATAATGAAGCTTCATGACGATGAATCGACAAAGGGGGTGAACGCAGATAAAGTGATCGAAAAAATCAGAGATTGGCTCATTCAAAACAAATATGAAAAAGAAGACATTTTTAATCAACTGAAATCTCATAAAGATTGTGGCGTATGCATGTTTCTAGTTGGTCAGTTTTATTGGTTTGGCGTAGGAACAGACGTAAACCGTAATGAACCGTTTAATTGGTATTTGCGCGCGCATGAAAAAGGAAACGCTCAAGCAACATTCTTTCTCGGCTCGTGTTTTGCTCTGGGCAAAGGCGTAAGCAAAGACAAAGCGAAAGCAGCTAAATTTTTTGAACAATCGGCCGATCGTGGTTATGCGCCTGCTGAATGTGCTATTGCTAGATGGTATCAAGTTGGCCATTTGGGATACAAAGACATAAAGAAAGCAGTCGAATTCTATCAGAAAGCAGCCAGTCAAGGTCATATGATTGCCCAATACAGACTTGGTGATTGTTATGATGTTGGCTCCGGAGTAGACATGAACAAGTGGGAGGCTAGTCAACTCTATCAGAAAGCAGCAGATCAAGGTTATGTAGATGCTCAATATGCCCTTGGATTTTGTTATTTTAATGGATATGGCGTATTACAGGATAAACAAAAAGCGATCGAGCTTTATCAACTAGCCGTTGATCAAAATCACACAAAAGCGCAATATGCGCTTGGCCAATGTTATGCCGGCGGCAACGGGATAGGAAAAAATATGGCAAAAGCAATCGAGTTGTATCAAAAGGCTGCTGATAAGAACGATAGCGATGCGCAATGGCGTCTTGGCCGATGTTATGAATTGGGAGATGGAATCGAAAAAGACCTTAAGAAAGCGATATCGTATTATCAGCTGGCGGCTAAAGAAAATTTCAATGCAAGTAGGGATCTTGAAAGGTTCAAGTCAATGAGCTAATGGCAGCCTTTTATAAATAGTAACTCCGTATATAGAATCTTTGCCAATATTTATTATTTATTTATTATATGGCGACCACAGCGTCAACAAAGAGCGTCTTTGTATATTATCCTAGCAGATTATTGAACGTTCTTACATTATTTAAACATTCAAAAATAATAAACGTGCATAATTGTTACCCGATGTATATTTAGCAAGACCTACTCGTGAAGGTTGTAAACGCAAAACGAGATCGATTTAATAAATACGCGCCAATTCGAATAATTAATTATATTGCAGTATTGTAGGATGATTCCGTGACTGGACTTGAATTTGATCACGTGGTGTATTTACAGGCGCGAACCGCCATCTAACTCTAAGGAAATATCAATTCCGTTGATTGTTTTAAGTCTTGTCAATTGACAGTGTCAAAAACGACGATACGATGGATCCTAACAGTTCCAAAAAAGTAATTGAACTCTATAAACAGCCGCTAACGCGAATGGTAGTGACGCCTTGGTAAATGCTACGAATCTGGAATTGGCATAGAGTCGGCAGCTAACCAGAAACTTTATTTGGCAGGGAAAAAATAAAATAAAATAATAAAAAGAAGCGAATAGAGACCTTGTTCTTATTAGATAAATATTTTATTGAATATTTACATGTCGCGTGTAGAGAAGTTTATGAACAATAAATGTTATTCATATTAGTATGTATATTTGCTGTCGTTAGATGGTTATAATTAATGTTACACTTTACGGCAAGGGTTATCATTCTTCTGACGAGTTTCGCCACATCCAAACTCAATACCAGTTACTATTAACATCGGATAAACGGAAACATGGAGTAACTGGAGAAACTACAGTCTGTACACTGTTTAGCAGATATGAGGTGGGAGGTAACACAATAAATAGAATGCTCTCTCCGTAATTGTATTTGAAAACTTATTCAAGCGATGTCGTCAGCATCAGAAACTGTTAATAATCCAGCGATTGACAGCTTGATTCAATCCAGTGAAGATGCTTATTCAAGACTTGAATGGATTCCTGGCGAGGAAATCACCGACAGAAAGCCAACTCAAATGTCCAACGTCCATTACGCTGTTCGCTACAATCGCATGATAATACTGGTATTACTTGGAAACAGCAAAGAATATTCACCAACACTTGTGAATGAGTTTGCCAGAATATACTCACTTTCAACACACAAGTACAAGAATGACGGTAATCACTTCAGAAGATACGAAAGATGGCTTAATAACCGCAACAAACCTATAAAAGGATTTACCAACTACGATAATAACTATTACATGGTTGCTGATAAACTCTTTTACGATTGTTATTCTCAATATGGATTCTGCACTGCATGTGGAATACTCCGATGTAGTCCCGTGTGGTGTATTTGTGGACATAAAGAATTATCCGATGGATGGACCAGCAAAAATAAGCAACTCGATGAGTTTATCAAGAAATCTCAATTACAAACAAACTCACCAAATGAACACTATCTGGAATGGATTCCATTTGATTGTATTAACAATTGGAGCGGTGAATATGGATGGCTGTATGGTTTACCTATTGCAGGTTATCATGGCAAATTTAGATTGATTCCACTTGAGATAACAGACGAGACACATGGCTTATATTATGATGAGGTAATGTTAATTATGCATTGTGTTTATTGAATAGTTTAAATAACTATTGACTTACTATTTGTATCATTTTCGCTAGTTATGTGATAAACATCCAGATATTCTTACCACGAATATTTGGGTTACTATCGGATTTACATATAATGCAAGAAAACAAAAATATTATTTAATAAAAGACGATGAGACTGGATTGTGTCTGGCGTGCACGCGTCAATTAGAACCCAAGATAAATGCATTTTGTTATGAATGTAAATCACCAAGACCTCCCGATTGGACTACGGGCAATGAATCATTGGATTCGTTTATAATGGAATCATGGAGTAATACAAAGCATAAAGATGATGCATATATACAATGGATCGAATACTCGTCATTGACCAACGTACAAGAGATGACATCGTTACGCCATGGATGCACACATATAGCGGAATGGTTAGAATCGACAAGGAATGAATTGACACGTGTGACACTCAGAAAGATAATTGACGAGCAAAACGATCAGTCGTTTGATTTTCATCAGGTAAATTATTTCACGTGTAAAATGCAATCGATAAGTGCGTATCGCGCGTTTATTATTATGTTGTAACGACAGTATTCGTTTGCACCAATAGCTAACTAAGGAATACCCCGAGATATTAACACCGAATAATATCTGGATAGTCGGGATCACTCAAAAACCATCTACTCGGGAATATTATTCAGTTTTCTACTATGACATACAATATTGGGCATGTTTATACGAAATAATGAACTAGTAAAGTACATGCGGTATAATGACTTTGATGAAATTAAAGAGATCGGATCTGGTGGTTATGGAACAGTTTATACTGCCAGGTATAAAAAGTATCAAGAAGTTAGGTATATGAAACGTACTGTTGTACTCAAACGATTTAAGAGTTTTGACGGAATGCCGGAATTATTTATTTCTGAGGTGAGTAATAATAATTGGCAGTATTCATTAAGCACTAAATTTGACTTGTATTTGTTTTTATTTAATAGTTCAGAAATCATGCCAAGTGCATAAAAACGGATTCTTCATTTCTTAAAATTCACGGAGTCACACAAGACCCAGAAAGAGTACATAATGGTCATGCAATATGCTAACAATGGCAGTCTTTTGTCTTTTTTGGATCAAAATATTAACAAATTGACGTGGATTGACAAATTACGCCATTTACAGAGTATCGCAATATTTCTGGATGATATTCATAAAATGGGTTTAATCCATTGCGATCTTCATGGCGGAAACATCGTTCTAAGTGATATAAATATTCCATACATATGCGATCTTGGTCTCTCACGATCGGTGAATTCACGTGAGTTGACCGTTCGAGGTATTCTACCCTTTATTGCACCGGAGGTCTTTCATATTCACAAATTTACTCAGAAATCAGATGTTTATTCTTATGGTATCATTATGCATTTGGTTGCTACTGGTGAACCACCTTTTCGAGATAGAGAATTCGATGGAAGTCTAGTATGTGACATTATGGGCGGACTACGACCATCGATGCCTGATTCAGCACCAAAAGAATACAAGAAACTTGCCGAGCAGTGTTGTGATGCTGATCCCGATAAGCGTCCAGATGTAAGGACAATTCTTCGCGATCTTTTCAACCTTCTTGTGGACAATTGTGAAGACAACACATGGAATGCTGTTTATCATAATGATGTAAAACCGTTATCGCGTCTCGAGAAGGAGAGTAAATATTCTAGCACGCTCTTACCTACTGAAAGTCTGCCTAAACCGAGAAATAACTATTTGGATTCAGCCGCAGGTATGGAGACAACAATTGGTTATAAATGAAGTCAACTTACAGCATTAACATTGTCTTATTGTCTATAATTTAGCGACTCAAACGTTCTTCTAATCTACCAGTTTATGCGAGGTCTATTCAAGGGTTTACTTTTCTTCCAATTAAATAAATTAATTATGTCAACATGGAGTTAGTTAAAAAGATAAATAGTAATAGAGTATATTATTTATAAAACTGGTCAGCGTCGGTCATGCTATGTATGCTTCCTGACATTGTTTCCATACTCAAGCCAAGTTTCTTCCCAAATGACCCATGCAGTCGATTTCTTCACCGCAATTGTCTCCGTGGACGATCTACTCGATTTTTTGATTTAAAAATATCTTTAGAACTAAAATCTTAATTCATTCCACTGCTTTATCGATGGATATCCCATCGCTCTCTTTTTATAATAATGCTATATAATTTGACGCAAATAAGGTTGTCTGCACTATCCCTAACTGTGAGCCGAGAGTTTGAAACAATACTAGCTAGTTGCAGCAATAATAGCATTGATAATGCATTCATCATTCTCGAGATTTGGGATTGTTCAATATCGCGAATCGAAGAAACATTCTTTGGTGTGTTCCGCTAATTTTAATTGATCAACGTATGATACAAAGTTAGACGTGTCTAGCTAAATACTAACGGAGAAATGGTCTAAATTTAATGTTTGTTGCAACAAGGATTTCTTCATGTTCGACTTGATGTTTTACTACTGATAACATCTTTCAGGCAGGGGGTGGGGAACGCGGAGTAAATAATACACGTAACCAAACTGGAAAACCTCCTCTTAGAGAATAAAGCTAAATCTGGTCAGGGAGGGGTTTGAAATAATGCAAATTCGTAACAAAATATTAATTTAAACAACCGATTAACATTATATTATTATTATACTGTTCAATTAGAACCAGTCCTTTAAACTTGATTATTGCGGTTGCAAGGGCGTTGATCAGTCAGAAATACGCCAGCATCTACGATAGTTTTCATCGACCAACATTGTTTCGGAATTATTCTTTTGGTAAGTTTTGCCGATTATGTAAGTGAGACATTACACCTTTTTCGCAAAATTAAAATATAGTGTGGAGTATTTATTATTAGAGTTTACTGTGTATTAGTAAACCTTGTTATTATTGGAAACTATAGAACGTATGCAGGTCGAAATTACGGCAGCTGACTGTATTTCTACTGATACGTATTCTCGCATTAAAATGTCCAGTGAGTATCTTACGCATATAACTATTAATTAAATAACATTCACCCGTCAGTGACAAAAATTCGACTGGATTTTATATAATTGATAGAGTTACGGAATAATAGCCATATTCTATGTAGTTCCGACCAATCAGACCAGTAGACGGGTTTGGTACTACTTCTTGCAAACTTCAATGTCCCTGAATTCGGTTTATGAAAGATAACATTTTTGAGATAATAATAACCAACTGAGGTAAACATGCTACCAAACGTAAACGTATTAAGTACAATGATGTATTTTGACTAGACGCCGTCATCTGCAAAAGTATCATTCACTCATATGCGGTATTCTTTGGAATTCAATAATATCATTATTAGCTGCGGAGGCACATAATAATGTCCCTAACTTTGCACAGTCAACCTTATCGAGCGTTTGTACAGTAAATGGAAAGCGAACAAAGGCTTTGTACGCCGGCTTCCAATCCGCACCATTCAGCATAAAACTCCGGATTACGAACTCGGCCAAACTCCGTAACTCCGAACTCAACAGCCATACAAAATTACTATTCTTAGGCGCTCAAGTCGGACAAACTTCTAATAACCAACAACCGGACTAGAACAGATCGTGATCGCGTAATCGGTTGCGTAATCACATTTACATATTTATCCCGTTCCTTTGTCTCTCAGGTATAAAAACTTTTGGTGTGGATAGTTTGAGCCAGAAATCTAAACCCACATCTTTGCAACTAGTCGGTTGCTCTGTTGATAAATACTTGTAGTTTTACTCAAAAAGATACAGCCAAATAGACAATAAAATGGTAGACGGCAAAGGAAAATTACCGTACGTGTCTTAAAAACTTGATATTTGCCTGAAAACGTTTTCCTGTTTAGTTTTTGGTTGTCGCATTCTG